CAATAGTCATACAGCCTTGTAATGTTGTAGCCAAAGCAACGGTAACAAGAGTTATTTACAGGTGATATCACCGGATCCGAATTTACGGATTGATGAAGTTGGTGTACCAGTCCAAGTGGCACTCACATTGACTTATCCTGAAATTGTTAATGAGCACAACATCGAACACATGAAAAAGCTCATACTTTCGGGACCTAACACTCATCCTGGTGCGAACTACATCATCGATCGTCTTTCGGGAACAAAACGACTACTCAAGTTAGTTCCCTTTTTTTCTTGAGATGATCCTCTTAGAAAAGTGGGACCGCCTGCTTTTGAGCACCGCGTTATCCTCTTTGTGTGCTGTAACGCTCCAGTTGGCGCTGATGTAGCACAGGTACGCGATCCAGTACGAGTAGATAGATGACGTGTCATTGACACCCAAAACGACGTCAATAACCCGTCTCGACACGTTATTAAAAGATGCAATACAGATTTTTGGGTATGTGGCAAGAGAATCGTAATTCGCCGCGCCAGTGGGCGTCGCGTGCGACGTCGCGCCCGCTAATGACGACGATTTTAGGTGGTATTGGTCGAGAATAGACAATGTATGACCAAAAATAGACATAAGTGTCTACCATGTCCTTGTCTACATGAAATCCGATGCTTCAATCGAAAGGGTAGTGCAAATTAAGGAAACGTCGCGCCCATTGCCGCGCGCGACAAAGCGCAGAGCAGACAGCCTACGACTCTCTTGCCCGTCTCCCCAGATTTTTGCATGTATTTTGCATGGTGTGGTGACCTTGCCAGTAACGTGTCATGAAACGCCATGCGACAGAGTCAGGACAACTCGTCCATACCACCACGAGTGGGCGTGGTTGAGAAGCAGAGAAACAGTGCCAGCGCTGATCGCTTCATGTATTTAGTGAGTAACCCCAAGTGCTTCGGGTCCTATGTTTCAATTTCACCTAACAACGTTCATGCTCCGCCAGGTAATGAAGATGTGTATATGTGACATCCGGACGAGTTGTCTGGTTTGGACGACGCACGACATACACCGATAAGAAATGGTAATGCGATCGCGCCACGCAACTACTTCCCGATGCTCCCTTGTCGTTAACGTGTTATGTGACAAGTCATCCCCTGGGTCCTAGGTAGCGAACCTGTGCTACACCTGCACCTGTGGTTGTTTAGAGCGTTTTGGAAACGCTGACTCGCTTGGTCTTACTAAATAGTGAAGCTACCATGGGTGGTAGTTAGGCAGCGTTCAGACTTCGCAGTGCGTTGACGCGCTGTAACGCGCTGCGCGCACCATTGCAACAACGATCCAGATAGAAACGCAGCCGCAGACGGGTATCGATCGGCGCCGTCCGACAC